ATAAAATAATAATAAAAATAAATAACGAAATAATAATAAATTATATAATTATAAATAAAATCGAAATAAAAAAAATAATAATAAAAAATATTTATAATAATAAAACGATTATTAAAATTTAATTTATTAAAATATAAACGAATATAAATTATATATATTTAAAAAACTTTTTAAAATTTATAAATATCGATAATTTATTTATTAAAAAATAAAAAAAAATGTTTAATAAATTTTAAATTATTTAAAAAAAAATTCTTTAAATTTTAAATATTTAAATAAATTTTTTTAATTTTCGAATATTATTAAATAATAATTTTTTTATTATAAAAAATTTTAAATAAATAATAATAAAATTAAAAAGTTAAATATAAATAATAATTTTTTTTCGATATATATAAATAAAAAAAATAATTAAATTTATATATAATTAAAAATAAATTAAAAATAAATATAATAAACGATTAAATACGAAAAAAATATACGTAATTACGTTTAATAATTTCGATTAATTATTTTAATATATTACGAAATAATATAATACGGTAATTAATTCGTAATTTTTTAAAATTAAAAAAAACCGAAAAAACCGAAATAAAAAAACGAAAAACGTAAAATATATAATAAAAATTTTTATTTATTATTTTAAAACGAAATAAATAAAAATTTATATTAAAATAAATTAAACGAAAATTAATTAAAATATAAAATCGTAAAAAAATAAGAGCAATGTTAGCCGCGTAGTATGGGGTTCGGCTAATTTCCCGCCCAGTATCGGATAAAAGAAATGCCGAAGAACGGTGTACATTTCTTTCCATACTGATTTGTATGGGAAAATATGTACCTGTTTTAGTCTCGAACCTTATTCTGGTACTTGTAACTTTTTTCCCTAACTTAACTTTGAATTAATTGTTTCTCGATTAATCCAGGTTTAAATCCTTAATAATTATAATTGCCGTAGTCGCATCGAAAAGATAAATTAAATGAACCTGGTTGCATCTTGATCGGATTAAAAAGGGCGATGCATCGTTGCATCGAAGTTAGATCGCAGTAAGGGCAATAGGATTAACAGCCAGAAACTGGAAGTATATCTCCTATTTCGATCCAGCTTTCAGGATCGAAACAGGTTCGAAATAATCAGTCTTTAAAGCAGTAGATATATCGATGCAACAGCTTTTAATAAAACCAGTTTCAAACCTGAGAGGCGAAAATTGAAGCGAAAATAAATCGCTGAAGATAGGTCGATACAAGAGAAAACCCAGGTTTGGACTTGTCGGAAACTGTACAAGTTCAATGGCGCTAGCGAAAGATAGCGCGAAAAGCTTATTTTCAGAGTACTTGCCGTTGTATGGCAGTTTATATGCGCAAAAAGGTACTCTTTCGAACGCGCTATTTTAGCGCTACTGCGCGGGAACTTAGCCGAACCCCATACTGCGCGGCTAACATTGCTCAAAAATAATATTATTAAAAAATTTTAATATTAATATTAATATTATATATATAAATAAAATCGAAAATTAAAAAAAAACGAAATAATAATTTAAAATAACGTTACGAAATTAATATTAATTAAAAAAAAGTTATTATTTTTATATAAATAATAAAAAAATATTATATTATTATAAAAATAATAAATAAAAATAAAATTATTAATTAATAAATTTAAATTTAATAATTAATAATATTAATTAAAAAAATATTTTTTTTAAATTTCGAAATATATATATACGTTAAATATTATATATTAAATTTTTTTAAATTAAAAAATTTAAAGTTTTTTTATAACGAAAATACGTTTTATAAAATTAAAAAAAAAATAAAAATATATTTTAATAAACGAAATTTATTATAATAATTAAATTTTAATCGTTTTTTAAAATTCGAATTATTATAATTTTTAATTAAAATTTTTTTTAATATAAAATATATATTTTTTTATAAATTAATAAAATTCGAAAATTAACCCGATTAAAAACTCCGAAAACTCCGATAAGTGTTAATTTTTTATTACGTTTCGTTGCGACATAATAACCCTCGGAGCTCGGGCATTAATTTACTCATTCATTGCTTAGTAACCTTATCAGTTTCTTATCAATCCCACCCATGATCTTTTAAACGAATCTTCCAACCCCTCTAAGTCTTGACCGCTAGATAATGCATGCCCCTCTTACCCCATGTCAAAAACTAAAGGAAAATCTTTTTCAGTTATTAGAAGCCGAATAAATGCACTTGGTCAATTTTACCTGCCTATTTTTCAACCTATCGTACCTTTTTTTTCTTCTTCCCCCCCTTCCACTTTTTCATGTCATGCATGCATCGACGGAATGAATGATTGAACGATTGATACCACTTCTCTCAATTCTGTTATTTGATTGAACGTAAATACCCAATAAAGCACGCAGCCTTGACAAGCAGAGAAAGTCGCCTTTTAACCTATATCTTGTTTATATCAAAATTCATCCGAGCCATCAATCCACAAACAGCCCACCATCCGTAACAATTTTCATTCACGACGCTATGGGTAACGTACTCTCCGCCTTTTCCAGCGCTGCCGTTCTCGCCAAAGAAGAGAGGGAGGCTATAGAAAAAAAGATATCTGAGAGAGATGACAATATCAATTCACTTGAAAAGGATCTAGCTACTAAGGAAGAGGAGCTTGCTGATGCTAAGAAGGAGCTTACCAAGAATTCCGAGGAAGCAGATGCCTTGAGAAAGAAGGTTGACGAATTGGAAGCTCAAGCCACGAAACTTAACGAAGAACTCCAAGAACAAGTCGACAAGCTCCAGGGTGAATTGAAACTAGCAACCGACAATTCTTCTGAGAAGCATCGTTCCCTCGAGGAGACTGCCTCTGCCCGGACCCATGAACTGGAGCAGGCACGTGCCCAGCTGACCCAATTGGAGGAGAATCTGAACAACCTGCAGCAGGACAAGAATTTGTTGAGTAAGGAGTTGTCAGAAGTGAAGCGAGAATTAGCCGACGAGATCGAGCAACGAAATTCTCTAGAGGCTGCACTGAAAGAAGAATTGACGTCTGTGAAAGAGGAGTTGCTTACTTCGAGCAAAGATCATGACGCTCTACAAAGCGAATACAAAAAACTGACGGACGAGCTTGCATCTGCAAAGGCCCGTGAAGATGCCCAAGAGGGAACCCTTGTTAAATCACAGAACGAGTACAACGCCCTCCAACAAGCTCACGATCAGCTCAAGAAGTCTTTGGAAGACGAAATTTCTTCGGCTAAGAAAAGTTTAACCGATGCACAACGGAAGTATACCGCCTTAGAACAAACACACAACCAGACGATAGCGGAATCCAATGAGAAAATCGATGCAGCAGAGAAGGATGCCGTCGAGTGGAGAGCGAAGCACGCATCTTTACAGAGCGATTATGATGGCATCGCCAAGGAACTTACTACTGCGAATGAAGAGGCGGCCACCAGAGACGAGCAGAGCAAGGCGCGTGAGCAGGCGCATGAGGCAGAGCTGCGACAGTTCCGTGCTGATGTAGAGAAGTTGCAGCAGAACATAGCCGCTTTAGAAGAGACTCAGGGAAAGCTGAAGGCTGACCACGCAACCGAGCTCGAGAGTGCCAAGCAGGAAGCAGCCCAGCTACAGGACAAGTTAAAATCCACCCAAGACGAGCGTGAAGCCTTACAACAGCAGCATGAGGAGCAGGCGGCGGAACTTGAGAAGGCAAGACAAGAGGCTTCTGAGCTACAGGGCAAGCTTAAGTCCGCTGGGAATGAGCAGGAGAAGTTACAGAAGCAGCACGATGAACAAGCAAGTCATATTTCCAGTCTTCAGGGTCAAGTTGAAGAGGCGAATGTTAAGGCAGTGAAGGCCGAGAACAGCCTCGATGCTGCGCAAACTGTAGGTTATCCTCGAGGTTTCTCCAACTTGCCTGTTTGAAAACAATACTAACTATATTTGTAGGAGAAGACGACCCTCGAGGGTAAGCTCAGCGCGCTGGAGTCCGAGAAGAAAGATCTTGCAGAGAAAGCGGAGGCCCTTGAGAAGGAGATAAAAAAGTTAAAGGCGGAGGCGTCGGTACCGCAGGTTAATGGTACGACAGAGGGCAAGGGAGCCGATGAAGCCGCTGCATAATCTGGCTGATCACCCAGGTGCCGCCATTTTTGCGTAATTATCGAACCATCGAGACAGGGATATCACCGTTAATGATGTCTATCACGACAAAGGAACCCTAATGTTAATACCAGACAGAATGTTTTATAACATTATGCCAATCGTTCGATAGCAGGCAGGGGCTGTTGAATCCGAAGGCTAGGCTTACGTGCGCTTGCTTCGGATGTGAATAATAGGAGGCATGTACTTGGAATTATTGCCCCGTAGATACTTCGGAGGAGGGGCGGGGTTCAGGTTGGCGGGAATAAGTTGATGAGGCCGTGATGAAATAATTGCCCACCATCTCAACAACCCGGACCTCTTAAGGATAGTAGCTAAACTTGGATGTGCTGTCGTGGTCGGCCGAGTTGAAGCTAAATCAATGGAAATAATCAACGTTCGTTTATAAATAAGCTTCGCTAAACCTACTCGCAATCACCTAGATTTCTTTTCCGGCTCGAGGTGTCAACCGCATGTAGGCTCCTCCGAAGCGTTAGCGATAGTTTGTTGACTAGAATGCCCTCCATAGGCTCCACCATCGAGGATGACTGCCTCATTGTTGTCTAGGTCATCCTGAACTCTCCTCCATCGTATCACTCTCAGGTCACGGCCTTCCAACAGCGCCCCCTTACCCTTAGCATCGAAGACTGGCCGGATGAGTGGACCCAACAAGGGATTCCTGCTGAAAGCACCGCCAGTACCTCCTCCTCTGCCAGCACTTGTCTCTTCTGAAACGTTACTGACTTCTGTCTTGTCTTCCGGGCTTTCTGGTCGCTCAATCGCTGCCATCTTTCTGACTACCTTGCCACCAACTAGATCGATGCTAACAACCTGCCGTCGTTTCTCGTAGCCCGGGCGAGCATCCCACTCCATCTCTCTTAGTACTTTTTGCTGACGTTTTAATTCCCGAGCCCTTTCTTCGGGAGTGGCCCATATGTTGCTACCGGCTCCTGCCATTGCTCCACTAATATCGAAATCTGCGGCCTCGTCTCTCACAGTTGTCCGGCGCGCATTCTGAGCCTGAAACCCTAACAGGCGGTCTCTATTCTCCAAGGCTTTCGCTTGTGCTTCACTAATCTCGCTGGAGATTTCTCTAGGCTTGGAGAAAGGGGCAGGCTTCTTCGACACTTCGGCTTTCTTGTGGGCTTCCCTATCGGCAGCCATTCTCTCCCGCCCGCGCTCCTCTCGTAGTTCACGAATCATCAATTGTACTTCAGTCGAAGTGAGAAGCGGAGTTCCGCAAAATGTGCAAGGGCCGAGTCCCTCTTTCACACAAATGACCTTGCCACAACTCAAACAATTTGGGGCAGCAGCTAGGAGAGGATGCCTAGAGGCCACACAATTACAACGTCTGTCGGCGTCATCTATTCCCTGACCGGGATTGGTGGTCATCTCAAGGACGCGAATGGCATCGTCCAAGTCGGCTAGCGCGGTGGATGCGCCATGCATAGCAATACCTCCAGAGATATGGATTTTAGTTTTAGAAGCAGGAGTTGTAGAACGTGAGGTGGGTGTAGATCTTAGCTTGGGCTTTGGGATATCAGATATTAGATGGCCTGCAACAAAGGGAGGCAGTTTCGGTGGTAGAGAAGCTGTAGGCTGCTGAGATGACTGAGATGTATACTTATTTGGAGGACTAGGTCGTAAAGATGTCATAGCAAGACTGGGGCGCCTCGGAATATAGTCGCTTTCGACGTTTTTACTATAGGCCGCACCAGGGGCGGGGCCTTGATTGGTGACTTGCCGTGCGACGGGTGTGTGCAACTGAGCCTTTTGCTTCTTGGTTGCTCTCACAGGTCTTGGCACTGGTTCAATGCCCGACGAGGGCACGTTAGATGCTGGCGCGGAGGATCTAGGATCTTGCCTCTTCGAATTGAAGGTGGCTATGAAGTCGATAGCCTCTGGAGATTCGCCGAGAAGGTTGCGAAAGTGCTCGGCAGCCTCTGACTTGGATAGTTTAGTTGCATAGTCCAGGACTTGCTTTAGCTCGTCATCGGGCAGAGGTAATAATCTATGAAGCTGAGACACAGACATGGCTAGTTACATGGAGGCACTCGACACGAGCTTAAGATGTATAGAAGAGGAGGGTCTAGCTTTCAGATCAGTAGCAAACCTAGACCTGTAACAGGGTCATTTATCTTGACGAGGACGATGATGGGTTCAGAATAGGAGTTAGAACGGTATGACTCAGGTCTTAGTCTAGAAATTTGGAAGGTAAAGGACAAGGCGTTAAATACATACTATAAGGTTTATAAGGCAGACAAGGTGGAGAATCCATCTAGCTGCATATTCCGACTTCTCCTTATATCTTTACCTAATACATTACATACTAGGTATGCTTTCAGGAGGTGTTGTCTCGTTATTGGGGTAGATAATGTAACCTTTCATGATCATCCCGACAGGCAAATAATTTACATTTCATCTTATCTCACCAATGAAGTCATTTGTCACACAGTTTTTGGAGTATACTTGGCAGTAAGAATATCTACCTAATTAAGAAAGATATCATGACAAGGTCACTGGATGCCTAGTAAATCATTTCTAACTATCCCCCCTTGTTCAAACCTTTATACCACGCGGACAACCTTGGAAGTTATTCTCCTGATTTTTAGCGCATGACTATATTATCTTAAATCTCATTCTTTTACTTTTAAGAAACACTCTTCTCTTAAACGAATAAAACATATTAAAGGTTAAATATACGTGAATATAATGTTAGTTAAAATGTTACTTAAGTTATTTCCGTGGCTTTATAAACGCATATTTTTTCATATTAATTGTAAGCTGCTAAAATTAAATTGGTTTTATTTGTACCTGCCTCGTGATGGTAAAGTTCTGTCACCGTGCGATTAAGGATCCTACCCTATTCTCCGCAGTCTCGTCTCATCTATGATCTAAGGTTTCGATTAATTAGGTACCTCCCTAGGTTGGTACATACATAATGCGGGGCACATGCACTACATAATCGTACTACCTGCCACCCTGCTCTACAAGGTTACGAGGTTGTCTTACCTTTAACACTACCTATTGATATAGTCTGCAGCCCTATGATCTATATCTATATATACCCCTATATATGATCTATACCTATGAATCTTAGATCGATATTAATGTCATTTAGGTTGTTCCGATTAATTACCTTACATATCCTCCAATTCATGAATGCAGACTTTCATGCATACCTACTAGGATTTCTCGTATCTTGGCCTGTAATATGGCGCGAACATCTTATAATACCTTTGTTTCCCTTAGCAAAGCCGATAGGAATGGTTTGAACGAACCTGAAGGCCGAGCTGAGTTACTCCAACATTCTCGTAAAGGGGATACAGCGAAGGGGAAACAATATCGCCGGCCTTCCGACGATGATTACTTGCTGCTTAAAGTTACCGCTTTCCTCTCGGCCGTGGGGATTTTATGGGTGCTTGCACACACCAACCTCACGCAGCGAGCGCCTTCGCACCAATGGAGTGGAGACATTGAGGGCACTTCGTTCCTGGATCACGAGAAGTCTATTGGCACCTTTTCAGGCAAATCGTTCTTGAGGCATAATATTCCGTTCATCGACATCCCCGATTCGCTCATCCAAGATGTTTATTATTATAGGTGGACGTCTATTCAGCGAAACCTCCGGTACATCAGAGCCGGGACAGGTTATATGTGTACTGAATTTGTCCAGCCAGTAGGCTACGCTCAAGCTTTTGGGTCCATTGATGCTGCTGCCGGTCACCAGATCGACGAATCAAGATGGCTGAGGGACACCTTCTATGGCGATGATTATATTCAGCTCTATACTCGTGGGCCAGCTGATGCGCTCCAATACACACAATGGATCCTCGATGCCACGAGTCGTCGAGCTATGGTGACCGGAGATTCTCAATTTTTCTCAGCCCAGCTCAATGACATGATCCGTATATGGCATGAATGGGATCAGGTCTTCGACCCTGCTGCCGGATTGTATTACTACCAGCCTGTGTGGGATGCGCAAGAATTATCTTTGCCAGGGTTTGTTGCTGACCCCAATGGTACTGATTGGACCCTGAGAAAGGATGGCCCCGACACTTTTAGGCCTAGTCATAACGCATATATGGTAGCAAATGCAAGGGCTATATCTAGAGCCGCCGTGATTGCTCACGATAGATTTAACGAACATTTATTTTCTAAATTGGCAGATGACTTGGAGGCAGCCATGTATAAGCGAATGTGGGCCCCTGAGCAGCAGTTCTTCATGGACATTATTCGTCCTAACAACCCCAGTCTAACGCGCCTTACTGGTAGAGAACAAGTAGGATTGTTCCCCTATCGCTTCGGTATTGGGTTGAATGAGTCATACACCCAGCCAGCTGTCGACGCGATGTTTGACCCAGAGGGTTTTTTGGCCCCGTATGGCCCGACTACGTTGGAGATACGAGATCCATGGTTTATGGCAGTGAGACCAGATGACTACTGTATAGAGGAGTCCTACCTGACGTTGCCTTTCTCATTTCGCCGTGTTTACTGACAGTTCTTATAGGTTGCTACTGGAATGGCATGTCATGGCCGTACTCAACAGGTCATACTCTTAAATCGCTCGCAGAAATATACCGCTCTGGGACTACTAATGTTACCGCGGAACAGTATTACCAATATCTTCAGATGTATGCAAGGACTCAACAAAAAAATGGCCAACCGTATGTTGCAGAGTCTCACTACCCTTTTTTGGATACTTGGAGTGCCGATGGTTGGAATCACTCTGAGCATTACGATCATTCGACTAATAACGACGACGTTATAACCGGATTACTCGGGATTATCCCACAGCAGGGGAACACGTTGAAAATATCCCCCATTGTCCCAAGAAGCTGGACGTATTTTGCACTCGAAAATCTACCATATCACGGCCATTTAGTGACCGTGCTGTATGATAAACATGGATCGAGATACAAATCTGGACGTGGTTTAACCGTCTTCGTTGATGGTAGGAAGGTGTACAATGGCCACCAAAAGAGCGCCTTGATACCGATTCCTCCCCCGATACCACCAAACGAGGCGTTGATCAATATTGCAGGTTGGTTATAGCAATCTTAACATGCATCTACTTTGTCTCATACTCATCCGCCCTCACCCTCGTCGCTTTGGATACTTCTCTTTTCGGAAGTTGAATTGAAGGGTACCTCCATTATTCGATAATTCCCCTATCATGAATGGGAATAAGCGGTACTGGGCGGAATGTTTGCTAATAAGTTATTATTTTTTGCAGCGAACCCTGCCGGGCCTAGCCAGTATCCGACGGCCGAGGCAACCTTCACCAATTCGGGAGATTTTCAGTACAAAGCCATCGATGGGGTTTTATTTTATGATTCGATACCTGACAACAGATGGACGAACTATGGATCACCCAATACTAACGATACTTTGACAATCACCTTCGCCCGACCAAGAAACATAACTTCCGTTACACTAGCGTTATATTCAGACATTGCAAGAGGTGGAGGTGTAGATGTCCCAGCTCGTATAGAGATATACGGATCTAATGGCTTGTTAGTTATGGTCAATGACCCTTCCAGCCTACTACCGAATGATCGTAACGAATTGAGGTTTGGCCAAGTTGAGACCCAGTTCGTAGCTGTTAACATGTACCGAAAGTCATCTAAGCTCTGGGTTGGTATCTGCGAACTTGAGGTCTGGACGCCACCTAATCTCGGCCCGGTCCACTATGCGGCGGATGCCTATCTGACCGGGGGAGAGACAAAGGTGATCTTCGACAACACCTCGACTACTACATCTAATGGTGCTGTTGTCGGGGGGTTGAAGTCGGACAGCAATGTAGCATTCTCTGGAATCATGTCCAACGGTGGCTGGACCACTGCCATAATAAGCTACTCCAATGCTGGCAACACGACAGTAGAAATGGGCATCGAAGTTAATCAAGTACCGCAGAAGAGGTTGTATTTACCCCCGAGCAAAGGAAAATATGTGGACATTACAGCTACCATCGTATTGGCTTCGGGAAAGAATTATGTTAGTATAAGAGGGGGGTCAGATTTCGTGGATGCCAAGTTAGAGTCGTTATCACTGTTTTAAGGGGTTAATAGGTATTTGGGAAATCATAATTAATTGGTTAGCTGTCGATTGCTTGGATAAACTTTCTATTGTATGGATTAGAGAGTTATGTAGCTGTGTAGGTATGTACAATGTAAGTATCTACCTAGTATGGATATAATACTAAGTACGAAGTAATATATTATCAGAACCGTTATATGTATATATGCTTACATAAGTATTCAACTATCAAATGTGGATAGTTTATGTATTTAAGACATACATCGATACCCAGGTAGCCCAACATTCCCTGCATGTACCTAGGTACCGGGACTAGTAGTTCGATTAGCTACACGTCACTACGAAAATCGAAAATTGAAACCCCGAACTTGACCTAATTAACCTTATAATCTATTGGGAATCTCAAAACGTTCTGCACCTTCGCCTACGCACAATTCTTCGGAACACATCATCCCTTGATGAATCTGCCTAGGTTCCTCTACCGAATCGCCCGAATCAGAATTGAGAATTAGGAGAGATAATGGCCGACTAGAGTTTTCGAGGTTGTGTTATAATGTCTCTCGTTGATAATCCTCAGATTAAGAGCGCCGAGTTGCTCTCTCCGCTTCCCATCTATCTTCATGCATACGTCGCTCCTTTTGCCATAATATGGCCTATATTTGCCCGATACTTCTATACGCCCGATTTATACGAAAAGCACATTGGATCTTCTGAATGGACGTTCGTCTGGTGTGGTACCATCATTACCCTGCAGAGCTTGGCCTGGCTCAGCACCAACTGGAGTGTCAACCTCAAGGGTATCTTCACTGCCAGGAAAGTGAAGAAGGTACAGGATGCTCAGTTAATAAAGGTTATCCCTATATCCAATGCCGGCTCAGCCGATATTTGCGAGATCGTTCGCGAAAAGGTGTGTTTTTATTTTATTTTATTTCAATTTTCATTCAACTTCTTTTTCTATATATATTCATTGAGAAATCCCCCAATCCGTAATTGTTCTTCGTATTTGTAGTTGACTTTGTCATATGCCCTTATATTTATACCTATCATCTCTTGTTTGGGGTTTCTGATCGTTGTGCTAACTAACTCTGTTTTTTCCTTTCGCATTGTAGGTTGGCGACAAGATAAATCTGTCCTTTCTGTTCCAAAAGCGCCGTTTCCTCTACGATCTAGCAACGAACTCCTTCAGCCCCCTAACATATGAGATCGATGCCGAGCCAAAGCCTAAGATCCAGAAATTCCAGCACTCGAGAGGAATCGCCTCCCAGGCCGAGCTTACAAGACTAGAGCAATATTATGGAAAAAACACTTTTGATATCCCGGTTCCTTCGTTTACTGAACTCTTCCGGGAACATGCTGTTGCTCCTTTCTTCGTCTTTCAGGTATTCTGCGTCGGTCTCTGGATGCTAGATGAGTATTGGTACTATTCACTATTTACCCTTTTTATGCTTGTTGCTTTCGAGAGCACCGTGGTCTGGCAAAGGCAGCGAACATTGAACGAATTTCGGGGCATGAGTATTAAGCCGTATGATATGTGGGTGTATCGGTTGTGCAAATGGACGGAGATTCAAAGCGACATGCTTTTGCCGGGTGATCTCGTTTCTGTCGGACGGACTAAAGAGGACAGTGGAGTTGCATGCGACATGCTTCTTGTGGAGGGGACTGCTATCGTCAATGAAGCTATGCTTTCGGGTGAAAGCACGCCCTTGCTCAAGGATTCCATACAGCTAAGACCTTCCGATGCATCTATCGATACAGAAGGCCTCGACAAGAATGCTTTCCTCTGGGGCGGAACTAAGGTTCTGCAGGTTACGCATGGTAATCCCGATGAGGAGAGACCAAAGCTTGCTTCTGGTGTTCCTGTGCCTCCCGATAACGGTGTCATGGCTATCGTGATGAAAACGGGATTTGAGACTTCTCAGGGTAGCTTGGTCCGTACGATGATTTATTCGACTGAGCGTGTCTCGGCCAACAACGTCGAGGCCTTACTTTTCATCCTCTTTCTACTTATCTTCGCGCTGGCCGCCTCTTGGTACGTGTGGGATGAGGGTGTCAAGAAAGATCGCAAGAGATCGAAGCTGCTCCTCGACTGTGTCTTGATTGTTACCAGTGTCGTACCCCCGGAGCTCCCCATGGAACTCAGTTTGGCAGTCAATACTAGCCTGGCAGCCTTGGCTAAATTTGCCATTTTCTGTACTGAGCCCTTCCGCATCCCTTTCGCGGGCCGTATCGACGTAGCCTGTTTCGACAAGACCGGCACATTAACAGGCGAGGACCTGGTTGTGGAAGGTATTGCGGGGCTTGGGCTTGGCCACTCTGGCACGGATACACCTCGCGAATTTGATGGTGCTCATAGTCATCTTACATCCGTTAAAGGCGCCGGGATGGAGACGACTCTCGTATTAGCTAGTGCCCATGCCCTTGTTAAACTTGAGGATGGCGAAATTGTCGGTGACCCGATGGAGAAAGCCACGCTCTCGGCTCTCGGATGGGCGTTGGGAAGAAACGATACTCTCGCGGCAAAACCCTCCGTCACAGCCACTGGCGGGACTTCTGGTACTGTTCAGGTCAAACGACGCTTCCAATTTTCATCCGCTCTAAAACGCCAGAGCTCTGTCGCTACTGTGCATGCCGTCGACCCCAAAACCGGGAATAAGATTCGTGGAACTTTTGTTGGCGTCAAGGGTGCGCCGGAAACAATAATGAAGATGCTTGTTACAGTCCCCAAGGATTATGAGGAAACCTTTAAATATTTCACCCGTCGCGGTTCTCGCGTACTTGCCCTTGCCTACAAACAGCTAACCAATGATCACGAGCTCGGTTCTGGCAAAATAAATGACCTGAAGCGCGAGAAAGTCGAGGCTGATCTGATATTTGCTGGTTTCCTGGTTCTCCAGTGTCCCTTAAAGGATGATGCGAAGCAAGCGGTGCAGATGCTCAACGAGAGCAGCCACCGTGTCGTTATGATCACCGGTGACAACCCACTCACAGCTGTGCATGTCGCTAGAGAGGTCGAGATCGTTGATCGTGACGTACTCATCCTTGATGCGCCGGAACGGAATGACGGAGGAGAAAAGCTGGTTTGGCGCAGCGTCGATGATAGGACAAATATTGAGGTGGATGTCTCAAAGCCTATCGACCCCCAAATCATCAAGTCGAAAGATATCTGTGTAACCGGATATGCGCTGGCCAAGTTTAAGGACAACGCGGGCGCTTGGCGATCTCTTCTCCGTCATACTTTGGTCTATGCTCGCGTGTCCCCGAAGCAAAAGGAAGAAATTCTCTTGGGCCTTAAGGATATGGGCTACTTCACACTGATGGCTGGAGATGGTACGAACGACGTCGGCGCTTTGAAACAGGCTCACATCGGCATAGCTCTTCTCAATGGCACCCAGGAAGATTTAACGAGAATCGCCGAGCACTCTCGTAATGCTAAGATGAAAGAGCTGTATCAGAAGCAGGTCGACCTTATGAAAAGATTTAACCAACCCGCTCCTCCCGTACCCGCCATGATTGCCCACCTCTATCCGCCGGGTCCTTCTAACCCTCACTATGAGAAGGCGTTGGAGCGTGAAGCACAGAAGCGGGGCATCACCACCGAGGAACTTGCGAAGATAAACGGCACCAACATTGAGACTGTGACTAGCCCGGCAGCCCAGCAACTGATGACTCACGATCCTAGGACGGCTAGGCAGCGAGATGCAGCTAACAAGGCTGCTGGCTTCGCTGACAAGATGACCAGTGCCATGATGGAACAGGAGTTGGGTGACGACGAACCACCGACACTTAAGCTGGGTGACGCGTCGGTCGCCGCCCCGTTTACTAGCAAGCTTCGAAATGTTATTGCCGTCCCGAACATTATTCGGCAAGGCCGTTGCACCTTGGTGGCCACGATCCAGATGTACAAGATTCTAGCTCTGAACTGCCTGATAAGTGCCTACAGTCTTAGTGTTCTCTACCTCGAAGGTATCAAATTCGGCGACGGGCAGATCACGATTAGCGGCATGCTCATGAGCGTCTGTTTCCTTTCGATATCCCGCGCTAGGTCAGTCGAAGGCCTGTCAAAGGAAAGACCACAGCCTAACATCTTCAACTTCTACATCATCGGATCTATCCTTGGCCAGTTCGCAATCCACATTGCGACGCTCATTTACATCGCCCGATTCTGTGATAAATTGGAACCGTAAGTATCATCATATCTCCCATCTTGTGACGCGTTCCTAACTTTGTTGTAGACGGTCCGAAATGGTGGACCTAGAGGCAGAATTCACGCCATCGCTTCTCAACAGTGCCGTGTACCTCCTGCAACTCATCCAGCAGATCTCCACCTTCGCAGTCAATTATCAAGGTAGACCATTTAGAGAATCCTTATCCGAGAACCGGGGCATGTTCTGGGGTATCATTTCGGTCACTGCCATCGCCTTCTCCTGCTCGACCGAATTTATCCCGGAACTCAATCAGCAGATGAAACTGGTGAAATTCACGGATGAGTTCAAGACGACGATGACAATGGTCATGATCTTGGACTACGCTGGCTGCTGGGTCATCGAGATCGTGCTCAAGCGACTATTTAGCGACTTCCGTCCTCGTGATATTGCAATACGGCGGCCTGAGCAGAATGAGCGCGAGAGGGTGAGGAAAGAGGCGGAGAAGGCGGTGAAAGATGCGGAGGAGGAGGAGAAGCGGCTGGAGAAGGTGGTGGAATTCGAGCGCAAAGTGGAGGAACGGAGGCAGAAGATTCGCGAATGGAGCCAAGGTACCCGCGCTCAGACAGAAGGCCACGCTCAGGCGGCAAGGTGAGGCTTCTGTTATTTCTTGCTATTCCAGTCCGTATTCCGTATTCTGTATTCCGCATAGGAGAATGGCGGAGTGCAGATCCGTAGACTTGGCATTGTAGACATAGAGAGAACGGAGTTCTGTAGATGAAATCACCAATCTTTATTTTTATACCGAGGGACAAGAACATGTTTACGGAGTCAGCACAGATCGATCCAATGACTGGTATTGATATACCTACAAACATACATGCACGTACCTAATAGTAGGTATATGTATGTACCTAGCTACAAGGTACATAGGTAGGTATGTAAGTAGTATGTATGATCATCGGGAAAACATCGGAAATAATTAATTCGTCTTATAATCTTTGTCAAATCTCAAAGGTGCGTCTTGTTCAACTGACAACTGACAACTGACAACTTACAACTTACACTGCCACGTGTTCGTCATGGATATACCACGACCGAGAGGCATCGTGGTTTTTGGGGGCGGCACGGCAACTAATAGCTTAGTTGACGTATTCGAAGAGATTAGAAAGAGTCGTAATTGCTCGCTGAGCTATGTCATACCTATTAGCGACAACGGCGGGAGTTCGTCAGAGCTGATTCGCGTATTCGGCGGTCCTGGTATATATGCATTTGTCTCACCTCCTTGCCTTTGTCTGCACGGATCTGCTGACAGGATCCATTCGGTAATGAGCAGGTATCGGCGACGTAAGGAGTAAGTCTCTTGACCATTCGCGGGCGAGAAGAATCTTAACAAGACTATTGTTACTGTATTTTTAATTTTCTTTTTTTATATTTATGTATTTATAAATATATATATATATATGTACATATATGTATATATATTATACTGATGGCTACGCTCGCTGTAGGTCGGTTAGTTCGTCTCATCCCCGGCTCAGACACAGACGCCGAACGAGCATCTATCAAGGGGTTATTTAACCACAGACTATCCCCAGATCCACTACAGGCGCGGTTGCAATGGCTTGGCATTGTCGAGGGGAGGGACGAGCTTTGGACTAACATCTCGAGCGAGAAACGCGAGCTTATCAGATCCGTCTTCAACCACGTCAATCTAGAAATAGTCAAGAGGGCACGGCCTAGTTCGGTCTTTAGTTTTGCTAAGGCTAGTATTGGCAACCTGTTTTTGACTGGGTATGTTGATCATTCTTGCTTTGCTTACCTATCTATGTACATAAATAGATATCACATATTGACATATTTAGGGCAAGAGTCTTTACGGGGTCTCTCGAGTCGGCTATCTACCTGCTCTCGACCATCTGCTGCATTTCGCCCACCGTTTCGGCTCTACCGGCTATTAACACTAACTTCACTCATCATATTTCGGCCGGCCTCGCCGACGGCACCCAGATAACGGGGCAGAATTCTATCTCACATCCCTCAGCACCAACCTCTCTGCCGCCCGACGATGATCTTCTTGGCAACGGCAACGGCAACGGAAATGTCTGTACCTCAGCGCAGCAACGGCGTCTGCGAGAAATGGAGGAGCATGACCGGATCGAGGATGCGACATTGCCAGGATCTCTACCGACGCTGCGCAAGCAATATATCGACTTTAGCAAGGCGGGTGAGGAAGACCTGCCGGCACGTATCGAGCGGATCTGGTATATCAACCCATACGGGCACGAGATATGGCCGCTTGCGAATCCCAAGGTGCTCGAGGCTATCGGCCGCGCCGGTGCCGTCATCTATAGCATCGGTAGCCTGTACACGTCTATCGTGCCGAGCCTCGTGCTACGGGGGGTCGGCGACGCCCTCGCCAACTCCGGTGTAAGGTATAAAGTGTTGATCTTGAACTCGATGGTTGATCGAGAGACGGGGCCTAGCTTTTCGCCGCTGACGGCGACCGACTTCGTTAGGGCGATCACGCGGGCTGCTGCCGAGAACCAGGGCGACTTTGCTCTCGACGAGAGACAGAAGGGCGAGGTGAGTAGGTACATCACCCACCTCATCTACCTCGAGGGCGAGGGAGCGCCCAAGGTAAACAAGGACGAACTTGCAGCGCTAGGTATAGACTGCATCAGGGCCTATGGGCGACGAGTAGAGGGCATGTTGCGTTACGACGAAGCTGGCTTGACAAGAGCTTTGGAGGCAGTTATTGGCAAGACGGAGATGCCGAGGAGTCGTAGAAATACCAGTGGCCAATAAATTCGCTTACCTAGTAGGTAGGTACATAGCATGTACTGTTTATTATAAGGGGTTGAGTAGAGTGGTGCGGGTAGATATCTTATGGTCAAGTGCGACTTCGAACTTGTGGAAAAGGCTGATGTTTAATGAGTATAATTAGGGGGTATATACAGTAAGGAGGAGGGAGTTGTCATGAGAACATTTCTTTGTCTGTATCTCTCTGTTTTTTGGAGGGATTTTTTTTTCTTGGAATTTAATATCGTACAGCTCTCTAGGTAGATACTAAGCCCCATCACGTCTTTCCACGAAATAGCTAAACTGTGGAAGCTCAGCTAGCTCTAAGGGTTCGCACGACCAAATATGTTCTATATTCGTATCGTCTGAACCGGCAAGCAAGAATGTGCTTTTTCTCTCCTTATAAATTCTTTAGGTAGGTACCCTTATTATCACCAAGGTCTAGCCAGATCTAGACGGCTTATTTGGGAGGGTTTGCGGCAACGAAGGCGACACCCTTCTCAATGTTCTTCTTCAAGTCGCCTAGGCATGCCTCTAAAAGCGCCTGCTCGTTGCTGTCGACCTCGCCGACGGGAAGGATCTTCTCGACTCCGTTGGGACCTAGCTCAACCCTGGAAGCAAAGAAGTCGATGCCTTGGTCCTTGTAGAGAGGGCTGTCCACGAAGGTAGGCTCGATAACGCCCTTCTCGCCCTGGGCGGCGCGGAGCAGCGATTCGGCCATACGGGCACCGGCCATGGCCATGGATAGAGTAGCGGAACCAGCACCATCCTTGGCTTTGACAACCTCATCACCACCGAATTGGACGCGCTTCACAAGATCGGCGTTGGAGGTAAGGTCGGGGTGGCCGCTCTGGCTGAAGAGCGGGACGATGGTGACACCGGAATGGCCACCGATAACGGTAATCTTCTCATCCTTAGGGTCGGTACCCTTGATCTCGCTAACGAATCGGCTAGCGCGGACGACATCGAGAGTGGTGACGCCGAAGAGACGCTTGGGGTTGTAGACGCCACGCGCCTTGAAGACCTCGGCCACGATGGGGACGGTAGAGTTGACAGGGTTGGAGATGATGAGAAGCTTGGCTTCCGGGCAGGTCTCGGCCGCGGCCTTGGCTAGGTCACGGACGATGGACGCATTGGTGTTGAAGAGATCATCACGGGTCATGCCGGGTTTTCGGGGAACACCAGCAGGGATGAGGACGATGTCGCTACCCTTCAAGCTGTTGGCCAGGCCGGTGGGTGTGGGGTCGAAGCCCTTGACTACGCTCTTAGTGTTGATGTGGGAGATATCGGCAGCAACACCTATGCGCCAATTAATTATATGTCAGTCTGTACAATCGTCAAGCTGTCGATCTAACAACCCGAGGTGTATGACGTACCGGGACCACCACGAATATCGTATAGAGCAAGCTCGGTTACTCTGGGGTTGAGCTTGAGAAGAAGGGACAATGGCTGGCCGATACCACCGGCGGCGCCAAGGACTGTGACCTTGGAGAGCTAGAGCGGATGACGAATATGCATATGTTAGCGTACCTCAGCAATTAAGCCCACCATCACCTTGATGCGAACAATTTGAGCAATCCCTACCCCGTCAATGTCTCGAGAATTGAGCGGTCGTACGGATATAGATATGGATTTCTTACATTTTGCGCCGAGGCCGAGAACGCTCGGCGCTGGATGCCACCGAAAACTGCTCGTGCGGGAACCATCTTTTTTTTGATGTATAGATTCTCTAATTGTATGAATTGGGATACGGTATTATCGTATTATATACGATAGAGAATAGATGGCGATGGAAGGGGAGGAAGAGCGAATTCACAAGGCGTCAAAGGCAAGCAATGTATGGGTTGAAAGTAGAGGGGAAGAGAGGGGGGGTGGAAGGAAATATTTGTAGTAAAGATGATGAGGTAAAATTATTGGCGACATTTTTTTTTTTTTTTTCCTTTCAAAGAAAAACAATACTAGTATGTATTGTACATGATGAACCGGGCAATGCCGACGGTATGTATTATACCTAGTACTGTATAAGTAACGCTCAAGGTACCTGTGCCATGTGCCTACCTAGTACCTACTAGGTAGTATTGCACTACAATACCTACCTACCTACCTACCTTTATCGGTTATCGGATCGATGGACATTGGAGACTCATTCATGTTGGATGTACCCATCGGTGAAAGCTCGGCTTTTATTTACCACGGTATTCTCTTGAAGATGTGCTGACTCAGCGCCGCCAATGTCCCGGTGCACCCGCCTGTTTAATTCAACGCGTTCAATGTTCCTGCCTACCTACCGTAGCGCCAATGTGGGGTTTTGAATAACGGTTATTTAACACCACTTTACGTTACCCCATTAATGATAATTCAGTGGAAATTAAATTATTATTTATAAAATAACGATTATTTACAAAATAACGATAATTATAAAATAACGATAATTTATTTAAATTATTATTTTTAAAGTTTATATAATTATTTTATATAAAGTAAATATTTTAAAATAATTATTATAATAAATATATTAATTTAAATATTAATAAATATTAATTTAATATAATTTATTTATTAATTTTTTTAAATATTAACTTAAATATTAATTTATTTATTTTTTTATTTATTTTTTTTTTATATATAAAAATTAAATTTAAATTTATTAATTTATTTCGTTTCGATTAAATTAAATTTAATTTATTATTATTAAAATAAAAATTAATAATATTTTATTAATTTAATACGATTAAATTAAATTAATTTTAATACGTTAAATTAAAATATTTATTTATAAAACGCGATTAAATTAAATTAATTAAATAAATTAAATAAATTAAATAAATTAAATAAATTAAATAAATTAAATAAATTAAATAAATTAAATAAATTAAATAAATTA